CAAGAAACTTTTCATGGGTTGAATGGAATACAGGAAATATTGTGGTGTCAACGCTGAGACTAAAACTCTCGTTCTGTCGGTCATGAGATTGACAGATTAGCCCTCTCGGCAATAGTATGTGCCCAGTTGCCAGGAAGTGACTTTATTTGTTGGGTCTAGTTGGTGCGATAAAATTCTGGTTGTTTCACCATATTAGGTGAGAGCAGTTAATAAACGCTTTTTTTTCACAGTTAGCACTTTGAATATCTTCTTAAATATGGTTATTTGACTGTTTTGTTTGAATACGACAAAATAAAAATGAAATAAAATGTTAGCTAACAATTTTTTTTCTGAGAAATTTCTTACAGTGTAATAACTTTAACGAAAATATTCTTAAAATTTCACTTAATCCTCGCACTTCATATACAGGGTTAACACGGCCCTTAATATATGTTTTTAAATTCTTTTTAAATAATTAAGATGAAAAAGTATACACATCGTGTGTCGCTTAATATTTAACCAAAGAAAAAACAAAAACGACATAGAAATCAGAATTAAGGGAAGTTAGTTTACAAATAACTCTTGTTCAATTTTTGATTTCTGTATGAATTAAATAGAGTATTTCCTTAAAAAATTTGCTGCATACCTCGTAATTAAATGGAAAAATTGTCATTTCTTTATAACTCCAGATTAAATTTTATGATATGCTACGATATGTAGAAAACAGCAGAAGATGCTATGTACTTTTATTTCAAATGCGTGGCAAGAAGCCTGTTTTTCTATTTAAATGTTCAACGCAGAGATTTACTAGAAACTGATCAATGAAATTTTCAAATTAAATTGCTCTGCAGACATGAAGCGCTTTGCAACTCACTGTATTGTAGACAGACTATTTGTAGATATACCAAGGGAGAATATTTGTGCTGGACGAAGAGAGACATTAATGGCTGAACTGAACCGGAATTAGAAAACAGATAAATAATTGAATTTGAAACGTTTGTATCAACTGATACAATTTGACAGCTGGATTTACTTTATTTTATTTGTCGATGTTGGGGAAATTTTTTCATCATAACCCTAACATACAGGGTGATTATAAAAGAGTTTGCCGATATGTGACTCTCTACAGTGAAAATGGAATAATGGTTTGCTCATGGAGATTATGATCTATGCGTTCGAGAACGATGTTTAAAATGATTGTGCTAGCTCCAACGATTACAATTATTGTAGTTCTTAGACAAGATTTGCTATTTTTCGAGACCATTAACAACAAGAGGTTGTGATAAAAACCCTTTAAAACAAAGAAGAAATTGCTCAGAAAGCATTTATCACGGAGAAAAAAATTCTGGTAACTGTTCTGGTAACTGTACTGTACTAGTAACGAATAAATGGTTTTTATGCTATGTTTCATGAAAAAATTACCAAACTTTCCCACATTTACTAAATTTTATCACAAATTATAAAACCATGTTTTATTTTTAATTTCACTAAAATCATTAACTAAGTACCTCACTAAAACTTACAGAGCTTTTTGGCGTTTTCATTCAGTCAGAAACACGGTAAACTTTATCATTTTCTAGTAGTTTTAACCCTACTTTTTTCTCAGTCTGTGATTTAAATTTTTTTAACGTGTCTAAACTCATAGAATTTCTTCTCTATAAAAGTTGACACCGTATTAATTATTTTTTGTTATTATGTTATATCTTATTCTGTTCTCACAAAATAATAATATTAGACTGTTTTCAAATAGCACTAATGAGTGCTTGAACATGATTAAAAAGGATTATATATCTTTTCGAACAAAATAGAAAATTTGTTACGAAACCTTTCGTTGCTTAAACATTTAAAAAAAAAGAAAAAAAAAAGCAAAAACACTCAACTTTACCTAAAAATATTATCATAAATACTTAGATAATTAAAAAGGAATACATTTTATTTTTAATGGTTTAAAAAAATTCTTTAATAATTCATTTCGAAAGAGTAGAATGTTTTCCGAAATTCTATGAAGTTCCATCTTAGCTTTCACAAGCAGAATGTTTATTGTCATTAATAAGCGATTAACTAAGAATATCGCAAAAATTTATTCTTTTTTCGAAACATTAAACTGACGTTTCGTAACAGCTGTGAGGAAAATAAAAATATATTTGCTTCACATAACATAGTAAGTTCTTTATTGATTAGAAATAGCGCTAAGAGTTGAGTCATTATGTTGTAAGTTATCAGCGGATATTATATTTAAGTGCTTGCTGTATTTACTACAGATTCGTTTATTGTAATATTTTTTTAAAAAAATGCAATTTTATATCTCTTTACTTAGGAAATAATAATAAAGAAATAAATTATAGATTTCCTAGAAAATAATACATTCCATAGAGTAAAGTAGAGTATTTAGTCAATATTTTTTTATTATATATTTTAGAAATTATTAAAAGGGAAAAATATGTTTGAAAATTTGACAAAGTGGAGATATGTTTAATGTAAGCCTGAAAGATTTTATAGTTCATGTCATGCATTGCTTTTTTTGTTAAAAAACTTCATGGAAATCTTTTGGTAACAAACTAAGATGCAGAAAAGTTGCACAATGTTAAAAAAAAACTGTAAATTCTACAGATGAAAAACATATTTTTCCCAATGATTTTTCTGTTTTTAAGCGTTATCCACGCTATGTAAAAAATTCCGTTCCTTTTACAGACTTTCTCTGTCTTGTTGGCAATTTTAAGCTGTTTTGTTGACGAAAATTTTTTTTCTCAATTTTATTTCCTAATCATAAACGGATTAAAACAAATTATAGTTTTTGCCAGGCAGTTTTGCTTACCCCACGATAACTATAAACCCATTCAAATAATTTTACGATTATTTTCTTTACTTGCTCTTATTTTTAAGTAATTATTTTATGTTTTTGAACATCACATAAGTAAAACTGCGTAAAACTTATTTATTTTAACAGATATGTGTAGTTTGGTTTAAATAATAATTGATTTAAATAATACACTGGTTATCATAAATTAAGGAAAATTCACAAAAATCGCGATAACTCAAGAAATTACACATGGAATTTTATGAAACTTACCCACAATATACAACACATAGTAAGGTATTAAACAACATAAAAAGAAATTATCAGACATTAATAGTAGTATAGAAATTAGCACATGTATAAAATAAACAAATTGGAAGTATCGGTTTGCAATAGAAAAAGTACCTTTAATATGGAATATGATTGCCTCTAGAAGCAATACAGCACAAACAGCGATGTGTGATGCTTTCAATTATGCGGTCTATCAGTTCAATAGGAAGTGAGAGCCATTGCTCTTGTAAAGCAGTTGCAAGCGTGGCAAGGGTCTGAGGGGGCGGATTGATGGCAGATACACGCCTCCCTAGAGCATCCCAAACGTGCTCGATAGGATTCAAGTCCGGGGATCGAGCTGGCCACTCCATGCGAGTAATTGTTTCCTGTTGAAGATAATCATCAACAATGCGAGCTCTGTGTGGTCTTGCATTATCGTCCTGTAACAGGAAGCAATCACCAATTGCCCCGGCATATGGGCGCACATAAGCATCAAGGATGTTGTCTCGATAAACCTGAGCATTCACGGTTCCCCTTGGAAAGACATGGAGGTATGTGCGCCCTCCTAAGGATATGCCTCCCCAAACACAGACACTGCCTCTTCCGTATGCATCTCTTTCACGGATGTTTGATGGATGATAACGGGTCCCAGGTTCTCTCCATATCAAATAACGTCTACTGTCACTTTCTAGACTAAACCTGGACTCATCCGTAAAGAGAACAGGCCTCCATTGATCTGACGTCCAGTGGACATGTTGTCGGGCCCACTGCAAACGGTCTCTCCTATGGCGTGATGTGAGCGGCACGCAAATGGCTGGTCGTCTCGCATACAGACCACCTTCGTGGAGCCTTCTGCGCACAGTTGACGTTGACACCAACCTTCCGGTGGCTGCAGCAAGAGAGGATCTAAGATGTGTCGGAGTAGCGGTTCTATTCCTGCGTGCACTTAATGTCAAATATCGGTCATCGGCACTGGTCGTAACAGTTGGCCGTCCTTGACTGAACCTCCTAGATGCCGAATCTGTGGTTTGAAATTGCCTCCAAAGTCTATGAACCACAGATGGACTCACATTTAGCCATCTGGCCACTTCTGATTGACTCTGCCCTGCCTCTAGTCTCCCGATGGCTCTCCATCGTAGTTCTTCAGGCAAATGATGCCTAGAGGTCATTATTACGAATTGGCTATCTCAGATTTTCAATGTCGCAATCACAGTAAAATTTGTGTGCTTTCTCTCAAACTTGGACTTTTATGCTCCAGGCAGATGACGTAAGCCGAGTGCAGCGCCACTAATTTGCATATTGCAATTTTACTCAGCTACTCTTAGTGGACAACATATGCAAATTTTGCACGGTTTGGCTTACTTTTGAAAGAGTTATCGCTATTTTTGTGATTTTTCCTTAATTTATGATAACCAGTGTATATACATTAGTAATGTTTGTAATGGTAATCAAGTTATATAGCTTAATTCACGCAATGTTTATAAGAAATTTTATCTTTATAGCTAATTCAATTAATTAAAATAACAGTAAAATTTACCAAATTAAATAATTTACCAATAAAACTACTATATTTTATGATACACGAATTAATCTGACATTAAATCTTTGTGTTACGTTTTGAAAGTATTATAAAAGCTAGTTAATAATGAGTTCGATGAAAAAATAAATTTGAATTTAAACAGCCTGTTTTACCGTACTGAAATTGCATTATTTCAAATAATAATAGGAGACTGAATAATAGAGAGCATGAATGTTGATTATTCCTGCAGCTGTTTTCATTCTGTAACGGAAACTTTTCAAAATGTGTCAATACAATCTGCCAAAGCATTAACGTAATTACGCCCGAACTACTTGTTTATTTTACTTTACTTCATATTCTGATTAAGGATAGAATAGTTCGGCACTTAAATCTAATCAGCCTATTTGGCGAGTTAAAAATAAACGTTCTACTTACGCGATCCATCGAATCTTGTGGCAATGGTGTCCAGGAAGTTGTTCTGGGGGGCTAATAGACCTTTCCTCACCGGCATTGGTCGAGATGGTAAAGTGCCGGGGCCTCAGGTGGTAAAGCGTCAAATATTTAACCGAAGAACTACATCCTAGGGCACCTTAAGCCCCGATTTCTCTGATTTGTTTATTTTGGCTGCAATCACGACTCAGTTTATTTCACTCCATTAGTTCTTAAAACTAATTCTTCTTGGTGGTAATAAAGGAGCCATTTCACACGCTTCTGAAAGGAAAGAATTAAAAGAATGAACGCACAATCAAGAAAAGACAAATCTGTTTTTAGAATTTCAGTTGAAATTTGATGCATTCATCAATAATAATGCAAAGACACATTCAAAATGTAAATAAATAAATGACAGAAGATGTCTAGAATACAGTAATATTTTAACAATTCGTGACCCTCAATGATAAATTACATTCAATCAATTAATATGCATAATCAATTTAATCATCTGAATATATAATCAATTTAATCAGCTTAATCTATGCATAATTAGAGCCGGATCTCATAATTAGAGATGGTTCAGGAGATAGAGCGCTCGCTTCCTAATGTAGGGATTCAGGCGCGAGTCCCGGCAATGGCTGGTCTATATGAACTCTGTACCTGGCTTGCTCTGGTTACAGTGTTGATGCTAGAACTCCGTTACAGTCATGGGTTAGAGTCCTCTCCCGGTCGGGCTAACCGTGAGAGGTTTTTGTGGTTTTTCCTTTTCATGTGACTCAAAGGCGGGTTAGTTTCCTTAAAAGTCCTTCACCAAGGATAGTTTGTCGCAATACTTGATCAATTAGTTCCATTGTTTTCTGAATTGGCTTCAAAATTACAAGGCTATGGAGTTGAACATTGATAGTCGTAAACTCAGAGTCGGGTCTGCTGTTCAACGTCGGTTATAAGATAAATATAAGTATAATAAATTTAATCAGCTTAAAAATATATAATTAATTTAACAAACTTACATGATAATTTTGAACTCTTAAGTGTAAATCTTAAAATAATTCTGTAATAGAACTATTTGGTTGAAGTGCTATTTTGTGGCTTTGAGAATAACTGACAGTCAGTCGATCTCCAGCTGAAAAGATGATAGGTTCCACACTGTTAAGTCTCAGTGACTGGAATGTTAACTTTAAATATGGGGCACTCAATTTTCGTGTAAGTTCTGTTATGGTGCATAATGTTTGCAACTGTTTGGTGTGCCAACGCAGCAAATATTTCTGCCTAGAAAAATGTATTTTGTCTCTTTTTATATTATAACTTTTCACGTGGATTGCTTCTCCCACATCGTCAAAAGATAGTAAAAACTTTTTGTTTGAAATACTCGCTATGCACAAAAATGTTTCAAAATAACCTGGTAATATTTTTATTTATGGTCGAATACCCAGAGACGAAATGATACTTTTCAAAACTGACAGTCGACTAACGTTTTATGGTGGCATTTTTCAACCAGAAATACATGATCATCATCATCAAAAAAGAATCATGCATTTAAAGACCAAGTCATTTGTTTATTTGGTATTCTGCAGGTGAGATTTTTACTCAAAGATCTATATTTAACGTATAACATAAATAACTTTATTTGATCTTTAGAAAAATTGACTTGATTTGATTTGAAAGATTCCTTTGAGTTAAAAAGTGGATTTGATTTGAAAAATTCATGTGATGTGAAAATTTGATAACTTTATTTTTCCCTTTTATGTAGTTACTTCATATCTTATGTATGCTGGCTTGATATTAGAATATGCCACCTTTTCAATTAAGCACTTTTTATGCTTACTTAACACTTTTCATAAAACGGTAACCACGTCATTTATTTTCAATTAGGAGTTTGGAAAAAAAAATTAGCACACCCTCCAAAATACAACTAAAATTAAGTGTCACCTAAAATGTTTTTCCAATTGATTTCTAGCGTAATGAACTGAAATACATCGTTAAATAAATAATCTCAAGAAACTAATGAAGAAAAATATGCTTGATATTCTTAAAACTTTATTTGTTTAAAAAATTATAAAGTGGGAAAAAAGTGGGTTTATTTCAAGTGCTAAAAATTCATCATTCATCAAAATTGCCCATTCTCAAGAGGACTTTTTAATCAAATGAAGTTTTACATTATGATTGCAAATGATATTGTCGTAACCAACTATTTTTAAAGGATTAAATTAATTTATCAAAAATCAATAAAATTACACGAAAAAATATTATTTCGTTGAGTTTTATATTGTGGAGTTTACAGTTAATTATATAATGGATAAAACATCACCTTGTGTTATTTGGCGTTTATCGACAAAGATTACTATCGATTACTAACTCAGATCTCGTGTATCTTACGCTATTAGATATATTGTAAAAAATTCCGGTTGAAATTTCGGTATAAATAACCGGCATTTTAAGTGCCTCATCTGTAAAATCCATTTTACAGAAAAATCCACTTTTACCGCAAAATATTATAACCATGATTTTCACAGAAATATTCATTTAATTAGAGTGATTCAGTATTTTCCCGGTAATTATTGCTGTAAAAATTACGGTACATTAGATTTTTTGTTCCAATAAAATGAGCTTTTACGGTAAAAAGAACCGGTATCCTGATACTATCAGTACAAAGTACCGGTATCATACTATCAAGAAAAAGGTTTGCTGTTGTTGTAATTAGTATTATTTGTTGAAGATGTTGATGTATTAGCATTTCATTGTGACAAATATATTTATGCAATATAAGTTGAATTCATACCCCAATTTACATCATAAAATATGTAGAGGATGCTACTTTGTCTGAAAAAACACATTTAATTTAAACTTTATTTAATGTGTATTTCAAATAAGTAATGTTCAAAATAATAATTCTTCTTCACTTTAATTTTTTGTAATTAATTTTGATAATAAATAATCTTTGATGTCATTTATTCTGTAGGCTTAGATGCATAGCCTAAATAGTCAGTATAGCTTAATAATTCGTTCACAGTTAGCTCTAGAAACGTAACTAGCATAAACATTATAATTTAATGAGGACTAATATGTTTTTACAAAACATTCCATTTCATCCTCCGAAGAATAAAAAGTTAAATAATTTGAAATAAGAATTATTTTCAAGAGAGTAATGTCTGAAAGATTCCTGTTCGAAGTTTTTAAATAATTGTGAAGTTAAAATTGCGCAAAATGTATCATGAAATTGTTAAAAAAAATCCGTCTTTTCTGTAATACATAGAAATAAAGTATTGCGGTATACAGAGAGAAGAAAATTTTAGAGTTAGAATTTTAGTTATTATTTTACGCTTGAAAAATTGGTAACTTATAATAAATTTATTCATTTTTAATATTTTTTCTCCTGCTTGTTGTTTATAAACTTCTTAATTATTATAATTCATTAAAAAATTAAATGTAAATCATTACTTTAAATGTAAATTATTTAACTATTAGTAAGATAATTGACATTTATGTAAAATCAAAGATTGAAAGTTTGGCTGCAAAGTTGTAATTGTAACAATTTTGAAAATAATACTTAAACTCATTGTAAAGTTAACAATATAAATTTATCGTAAAATACTTGGAAAGTTGCCAGATCGATGAGTATCAATTTGTCTTAGTTTTTAGAAAGGCTTACTCGTATGCTAACAACATTTCCACAATCAATCATACCGTTGATCATGAAATTGTGCAGCCTTATACTGCAGGACCATACCTGGCTCACAACGGGCTGTTGTGGGAATTCTTTACATTTTTATATTAAAGAAAAGAGAGAGTTTCAAATATTTTACACTTAAAAAAATTATTATTGTTTTCAATTATATTTGAATTTCATGTAATTGCTATGATGCAAGAAACAAATATTATTCTCTCCTTCATTATTATAATAAATTAAAAAAAATACGTTTAATTTTAGTTGGATGGTAAAAATGCAAAAAAAATCATCATTTCATCTTATTTTTAAAAGAAAAAGTATAAAATCTTATTACAGAATGCTTAATAATTGAATTTAAATGTTTCCCAAAGAATTCAAGGCGCATAGAAAACAACACGCTTTCTATCAAGATTAAACCTGGAAATTACCCATGTTGTTCATTGGCCGTGACGTCACATCTCCATGGAGACTAATAGAGAATGATGGGGAAGAATGGAAGGGTTGGAACCCCTCCATATCTCTCAATTCCATTTAATAGTATAGAGCGATCTTTACGAAACAATAGGAACGGCAAGCTTCTAATATCCATTCAGTGAGTCTGTCAAATTAAGCACTTCCTGATGTTTGGAAAATAAATATCGGTTATTATTTTCTGTTAAAACGAAGGACTTAATGGATGAGATCGGAACATTAGAATATTTTTCGATTAAAAATCACTGATAATGGAGAAGGGAATTTTCGACAGCAATAAGTGATCGCGTTTAATTTAATAGCCATGTTGTCTGTCTGAATGTCTGAAATACTCTTAATATATAAATAGGAGCAGTGACCCTGAGCGTTACTGTTCATTAACTCCTGTTAACTTGATTGCAACATTCAAAACAATTTTGTACCATTCTAAAGGTGGAATCAATGAAGTTGACAGCTACTAATTATAAATTCTGTTGTTATTTATGTTATATACATTAAATATTTATTTCTCATGAAGTATACTTTTATTATATAAATAAAATTAACACTACACAAACTTTTTTTAAATCTAATTTTAGGACTAATTTGATTATCTTAAATAGCAAATTTTTGAGTGAAACCATCGGCGTACATTTTTTGGACTTCAAGTGTAAGAAAGTAGTAGTAGAAATATTTTATAAAATATATAAAAAAAAAAATACTTAATTTTTTTTAAAATTATGAATAAATAAGTTTATAGTACGTATTTTAATCTATGTTTTTATTAAAGTAATATCACGATTTGGTAAGTTTTTTTTGGCACGGATCAAAACACTAAATTGTTTTTTCTAAAAATCTTTCTCCCAATAATATAATTTATCAACTAATACCTTTTGCTTATGATTTCATCAAGTAATCATTCTATTTAAATTTTATATTCTTATTTTCATTTGTAAACATATTTTAAGTTATATTAAAGAAGCATTTTTGATTTTTCTTTAGCTTAGCGAGCATCATGGATGTCCCAAATTTTAGCGTTTTTTTAAAAAAAAAATCTTTGTAAGGTATTTGTCGAAAACTTTCGCAATAATTTTTTTAAATTCAGGCCTGACGGAATCATACATTTTCTCGTAGTTTTTTTTCTGTGAATTAA